TTTTTTTTTTTTTTTTTTTTTTTTTGCTTGCTTTCGTGTGTGTTTTGCAGTGAAAGTACCATATAATGATTCTGGAACAGATATATTTATTTATAATGATTGAATAATACTCAGTACTTAATCCTACTAGAGTATTAAAACATGACTTCTTAACTGCCCAACACGATAGAGAGTGTTGAGTACTCCTTAACTCCAGGATAGAGTGCGAGTACTTCTTAATTGTTGAACACGATAGAGACTGTAATCTAATTCAACCAACTGAAATACAGGTGTTCATTTATGATATAGTATTTATTATTTATTGTTTATTAGTATTTCTTTATATATTTTAAAATTAAACTAAAAATGCGGCAGTTACGTAGGAACAACGTAGGTGAATCTTCTTAATATCTGAACACGATATATACTATTACTATTACTATTACTATATTATTATTATTAAATATTCTAGTTTAAATTATTTATCTGATTTTCATAATTTATACGTTATAAATTAAAATAATTATAAGTATTCGTATGCTTCTTGCCTGAATTTTATAAATTTTTTTATCTTAAATTTTGTGCATAAATATTAAATCTAATAATAGTGAAATTAGATATAAAATATTTTAAAAACACGTAACACACAAACATTCTTCATTCTTCATAAAAAATAAGTAAATGACAACATGTTTGTAGAATATATTTTATTTCATTTTCTACAACATACAAATTAAATCTAATTAATCTAGTTAAATCTAATAATAGTGAAATGTTCATCAGAGAGTGTTGAGTACTTCTTTATTGCACGATAGAGTGCGAGTACTTTTTAACTGCTGAACAAGATAGAGACTGTAATCTATTCAACCAACTGAAATACGGGTGTTCATTTATCATTTATTATTTATTTTTTATTAGTATTTCCTTATATATATATTAAAATTAAACTAACGCGGCAGTTACGTAGGAACGTAGGTGAATCTTTTTAATATCTGAACACGATATATACTATTAGTATTACTACTATATTATTATTATTATTATTATTATTATTATTATTATTATTATTATTATTATTTTCTTTCCTGAACGATAGGAATATTATATCAAAGAAAGCACGAGAACAACGTTCAAATACAAACGGGCAAAAGCCTAACTCACCCACCAACTGAAAATGAGAGGACACGCACGCAGGCGACCTAGAGACTCAACTAAACACCTGTAGCTAAGGCAGGATCACCCAGAGCCCTTAGTCAAGACACAAACTAACAGAACACAAATCTAAATTCCACCTCTACACACTTCCAACCGAAAAACCCCACAGGGAAAACCACCAACAAAAACCAAAAACCAGAAACAAACTAAACATAAAAAACAGAAACCAGCACCAAGGCCAAAACCAATATCACACAGATAGCAGAATATGCTCCCACCCAACCTGCTAAGACACTGGAACCTTTGAGAATTCTAGCCATTCTCGCATTGCATTTTTAATGATCATCTGTTCTGGTATTGATTCTTGCATGAATAACCACATGTTGTGCATTTTCTACAACCACCATAAGAGGTAGGTGGAGAGTTGAATCCTATCTTCATGGATTGCGGCCTTTCCAGTTGATAGATATGAGTCCACCAATCTTTGAAAGAACAAAGCTCGATATTAATCCCATCCCACTTGACTGGCCCCATCTTCCAAACCCTCGAAGCTCTAGGACAAAGAAAGCAAACATGTTCAATTGTTTCTATAGCTTCCCCACATGATTGGCAGACGAAGTCAATGTCCATTCCTCTTTTCCTCAAATTGATTTTGACAGGTAAGGTTCCAGAGCCACATTTCCAAATGAAATGTTTTATCTTGCTCTTCACCTTCAACTTCCACAGCCTGTTCCTCGCTTTTTCTCCCTGAATATTTCTGTGGCTGCCTTCTGGGATGTCCATGGACAACATTTTTTGTTCCATTAAATATGCATATGAGGCTAATACAGAGAACCTACCATTTTTTGTCCATCTTCCAACTCCATGTGTCCTCCAGATTGGGATTCAATCTTATGATTTGGAGTATTGCTTCACTGTCTAAAGGACCAAAAACCTGTTTGATGAGCCAGTCATTCCACATAGTCTCCTCCTCATTCATTATATCTTTCACCCATATCAAATGTCCCCTAGCAATCTTTAAAAGATCTGGTTTCTGGGTTTCCAGTGTTGGGATCTAATTGACATCTTCAATCTTGTTGTGCTTTTCATTTCTGATAATCACCTGGAGTCCCTTAGAAAACAAAGGTATAACTTTTTTCCAATTACTCCAAAGCCAAGATGCATTGTGCTTCCTGTCAGCTTCCAAAAGTGTTGATTGTGGAAAGTACTTGCTCTTCAATACTTTGCTAACCAGCAAATCTGGTTTTGTTGTGACTCTCCACAATTACTTACAAATCAGAGCTTCATTAAACAATGAGATATCCTGAAAGCCTAACCCACCTTTGCATTTGGGCAATGTCAGATGACTCCATTTCTTCCAATGGATACTGTTATTTGTCTCATCTCCTGTTCTCCACCAAAAGGTAGCACATTGTCTAGTTATTTCCTTGCAAATAGCTACTGGCAGCTTAAAGCAAGTCATAGCATACACATGAAGTGCATTTATAACAACCTTAATCATCACTTCTTTTCCTGCCACAGACAGCCACTTATTTTTCTAGCTCAACAACCTGGATCTCATTCTTTCAGTAATATAAGAGAAAGTTTCAATCTTAGATCGACCAATTCCCAAGGGGAGACCTAAATACCTTGTAGATGTGTGCCTGTTAATCCCTTAAAAAAGTCTTCATACCTCCATCTGGATATGTTCTTGTTATATATGCTGTAAAAGCTTGGCTTTCAGATATCAATAATACCATTTTGATCAGGCAACCGTGTTTTAGTCAAAGTACTTATGTTTGCAGTTTATTTATTTATGCAATCATAACTCCATTATTTTACACTGTAGATAATATGGTTCGTCGTGTCGAACAGAAAGATCATATTATCGGTTCCTTGTAAAATATAAATTTATTGTTCAGTTTAGACAGACAGTGAGACCCCTGTTGGAAAAAGACTGTAGTGTAGTCTTGATTCAGTTGATCTTTAACTGATGGATTACACTAGTACTTTTGATAAGTATTGAACGGACCGCGGAAGGATAAGATTATAAGATTTACTGGTCGTTGTTATAATCTAGACCTTCAGTTATTCATGCGTTCTCTTAAGCTGTAAGATAATGTAAAATGGGCATATATATTTATTACTTATTTATTTGATTTAGCAAGGGTGATTCCTATTCTGTTAGGATGACATACTCGCTATTTTGGTAAGTAAGAATATTTATATAGTGTGCCGTTAGAAATTATTTACAGTCACAGTGTCCCAGTGCGCTGGGTTGATGACGTCCCCGAAATGAGCACAAGAATAAATATTATGTCAAACCCTGCAGGTCAATGATTATCCGGCGTAATGATTAATGAACCGAGTGGTACTAATTCGGAAATGAAGAAGTCAATTTGATTTAATTGTCAGTAATTAAATTAATTGACGGGTATTATCTCTTAAACATAGGAAGGTAATTCGGTCAATGGGATTAATTAATTAACTAATTAATCATTTAATTAATCATTTGAAGGTTTGATTTAATGATTAAATTGGAGCCAAATGTGGAGAGCAATAATAATATTTTAGTGGGATATATTATTATTTAAATTTAATTAAGATTTTAAGAATTAATTTTATTCCATAAATAATATTCCATGATTAGGAGAATATTTCATCTAGAATATTACCTAGGGTTAGGAGACTTGAGAGTCTTCTAGAAGGTGATGTTAGGAGAAAAGAATCATGACCTAATTCGGATTAGTATATGGAGTGGAATTAGGATTCCTTAGCTTAATGGGATAAGCCCACATTTGGCACCTTCTTAAGGTCCCTAATGGATCCTACAAATACACCATGTCCCAACCTCTTCACATACTATTGCAAGAGCTCGATTTTAAGGTCTTAGAAAGAGAGAAAAATCGTGTTCAACACATAGTCGAGAGTTAGGGAGTTTTGATTAATCGCACCACTAAGATTAATCGAAGTAAGTGTTAAGGTAATCCATTAAAAGATCTTAAGGTGATTTATTTCAAACCTTGAAGATCTAATTTTTCCGGCCATCACCACCTGCCGACCGCCGCCGTCAATTGCCGTTGATAGCCACCGGAAATCGCCGCTGCCGCCTATCGCCGCCGGAAGTCACTAGAGCCCAGCCGCATGCAGCAGCGAGCCAGCGCCCGCAGCCGCACGCAACCAGGCCTCGTGCAAGTCCCAGCAGTGATGCCCCGTGAGCCCTGCACTGTTGTCNTCCCAGCGCCTTCCCGCGTCTGTCCCGAGATCGCGTGTCCCAGCCACCAGACGCTACCCATCCGCGACCAGCACCAGCGACCCGCGCCTCGTCTGTGACCAGACCCGACCAGCGCCGGTCCGAGCCAGTCTGCAAACTGCACGAGCCCGACCGAACCGAGACGTGACCTGACCCGAGATCCAACCCGTTCGACTCAAGTCCCGACCGAACCAAACCCGATCCGACCGGCCCGAGCCCGACAATCCCGATCCGGTGATCCGTTCGTGATTCAACACTCGACTAGAGTCGACAAAGGCCAAACCCTTCAACTGAATGGGTTGTGGTAATCAGATCTCCATCAAAGGAAATCAGAAACGTCTCTGAGTTGGCAAAAATTTTAAACGGTAATGTCCTAACCCTAACTACAGATTTTGCGGTGTTAGGTTTTATTTTTACAAAATTGAAACGTGCATGTTGTTGTCGTTCCTATTAGAACCCAACAACTGGTATCAGAGCCCAGGTTTAATTCAACTTCGTGCACGGTTTGAATTAGGACTTACCTGTTTATGTGAATTAATTGCGTACAGACGCAGCGCATAGTAGATTAGAAATTGCAATGAGTT